TCACTCTCTCATCACTTCACTCACCCCTCTCACCACTCACTCAACCTCTCACCACTCACTCACCCATCCATCACTCACTCACCCTCTCACCACTCACTCACTCTCTCATCACGCACTCAACCTCTCATCAATCACTCACCCCTATCACCACCATCACCCGCTACACTCACCGCATCCCTCTAACCACTGACTCACCCTCTCATCACTCACTCACCCTCTCATCACTCACTCACCCCTCTCACCACTCACCCTCTCACCACTCACTCACCCTCTCATCACTCACTCACCCTCTCACCACTCACTCACCATCTCATCCTCCCCACCACCGCGCCGGTCTGCTCTCCATCCCTCTCCACGCTCGCAGCGCCATCTCTCCCATTCCCTCTCTCTCTCTCCCCATTACTGCCTCTCCCTCCCGCACGCTCCCCTTCACCGCTGCACCCCCTCTCCCTTCTGACCAGCGGATGCTCTCTCTCTCTCCCACTCTCTCTCTCCCACTCTCTCTCTCCCACTCTCTCTCTCTCCCACTCTCTCTCTCCCACTCTCTCTCTGTATCTCTCCCTCCCTCTCTCTTCATCACCGTTCCATTACCGCTCGCTCTCTCTCTCTTCACCGCCTTTTCAGCGCCAATTATCTCTCTCCGCGCTCTCTCTCCGCTCTGTCTGCACTCTCTCTTCGCTCTCTCCAGCACACACCACCGCCACTGGTTGTCTGCCACCACAAAAAGACAAAGATCCCCCGTGTAGCCTTCCACAGACTGTTGGGGCAAGTGTTGTTAGCGAGCACCTATGAATGTCGGCATGGCACACGAGGGGGTGGTCAGCACCACACCCGGCCGCCTTTGTCTCCGCAGCGGTGATGTTTACTACGCACCATACCAGGTACTCGTTTGAGGCTGAGGCGACCTAAGGGAGGCCGAGGACCGGTGTTGGCTGGAACCGAACTCGGGTAGCTGGATTCGTAGCGCAGCGCGCTAACCGATGCGCCACCGCTCCCCACCAAGACACCCACACACAGAGCCACACACAATCACAGTCACACTCACATACAGGCGTGCACCCCCTCTGACTCTCTCTCTCCACCGTACTCTCCCCCCCTCACCCGCACGCTCTCCCCCCCTCACCCGCACGCTCTCCCCCCCCCTCACCCGCACGCTCTCCCCCCCCCTCACCCGCACGCTCTCCCCCCCTCACCCACCGCTCTCCCCCCCTCACCCACACGCTCTCCCCCCCTCACCCGCACGCTCTCCCCCCCCCCTCACCCGCACGCTCTCCCCCCCCCTCACCCGCACGCTCTCCCCCCCCCTCACCCGCACGCTCTCCCCCCCCCACCCGCACGCTCTCCCCCCCCCTCACCCGCACGCTCTCCCCCCCTCACCCGCACGCTCTCTCCCCCCCTCACCCACACGCTCTCCCCCCCTCACCCGCACGCTCTCCCCCCTCACCCGCACGCTCTCCCCCCTCACCCGCACGCTCTCTCCCCCCCTCACCCGCACGCTCTCCTCCCTCACTCGCACGCTCTCTCCCCCTCACCCGCACGCTCTCTCCCCCCTCACCCGCACGCTCTCCCCCCTCACCCGCACGCTCTCCCCCCCTCACCCGCACGCTCTCCCCCCCTCACCCGCACGCTCTCCCCCCCTCACCCGCACGCTCTCTCCCTCCCTCACCCGCACGCTCTCCCCCCTCACCCGCACGCTCTCTCCCTCCCTCACCCGCACGCTCTCCCCCCTCACCCGCACGCTCTCTCCCTCCCTCACCCGCACGCTCTCCCCCCTCACCCGCACGCTCTATCCCTCCCTCACCCGCACGCTCTCCCCCCCTCACCCGCACGCTCTCTCCCTCCCTCACCCGCACGCTCTCCCCCCCTCACCCGCACGCTCTCTCCCTCCCTCACCCGCACGCTCTCCCCCCTCACCCGCACGCTCTCTCCCCCCTCACCCGCACGCTCTCCCCCCTCACCCGCACGCTCTCTCCCTCCCTCACCCGCACGCTCTCCCCCCTCACCCGCACGCTCTCTCCCTCCCTCACCCGCACGCTCTCCCCCCTCACCCGCACGCTCTATCCCTCCCTCACCCGCACGCTCTCCCCCCCTCACCCGCACGCTCTCTCCCTCCCTCACCCGCACGCTCTCCCCCCTCACCCGCACGCTCTCTCCCTCCCTCACCCGCACGCTCTCCCCCCTCACCCGCACGTTCTCTCCCTCCCTCACCCGCACGCTCTCCCCCCTCACCCGCACGCTCTCTCACCCGCACGCTCTCCCCCCCTCACCCGCACGCTCTCTCCCCCCTCACCCGCACGCTCTCCCCCCTCACCCGCACGCTCTCTCCCCCCTCACCCGCACGCTCTCCCCCCTCACCCGCACGCTCTCTCCCTCCCTCACCCGCACGCTCTCCCCCCTCACCCGCACGCTCTCTCCCCCCTCACCCGCACGCTCTCCCCCCTCACCCGCACGCTCTCCCCCCCTCACCCGCACGCTCTCCCCCCTCACCCGCACGCTCTCTCCCCCCTCACCCGCACGCTCTCTCCCCCCTCACCCGCACGCTCTCCCCCCCTCACCCGCACGCTCTCTCCCTCCCTCTGTCGTTCTCTCCCTCTCTCCGCTGTCACGCGCCACGACTCAAGGGCAAGACCCATTGATCGCCGCGAGTTAATGAGGTCCCATTATGATGTGACAAACGAGCACGTGGCCTGGGGGGTGGGCGCGGGGGACCCCTCCCCCACCCCCCTCCCCTAACCCCCCTCTCCTCAACACCCACAGCCTCCTCCCCACCCTCGCTTTCTCCCCCTCTTGTCCCTGTCGCCCTCAACCCCTCCCTTCACCCCCACCCACCATTCCATCCATTTACCCCCCACCTCCGCCGCCCACCGCTATCCCCCCCACCACCACCCATTGGGTCATCGTTCTGTCCCCTAATGATGGTAATAGGTGTGGCACTGCAAGTTACTTTTTTGATGGAATTAAAGAGCGATTTGTGATCGCAGGCCATTGAGGCAGATTCCATCTCCTCAGCAACCTGCGACCACCACCACTCCTTGCAGCATCTCACGGCTCTCCGAACCTCTGAGCAAAGGATGCGGTAAGCCTCCTCATTCTCTGACGTAGGATGCTGTAGCCGATGAGAGTGGGCCTGTCGCTTTTTCTCAGCCAGCCTGAACACCTCTGT